GGGACGGGCGGAGCGGGGCGCGGGGCGGAGCGGCGACGGGCAGCGGAAGGGCGGAGCGGCGACCGGGCAGCGGGCGAGCGGCGGACGGACGCGGGCGGGCGGAGCGGCGAGCGGCGGAGCGGGCGGACGGACGGAGCGGACGGGCGGGACGGGAGCGGGCGGAAGCGGCGCGGAGCGGGCGAGGGGACGAGGCGGGCGGAGCGGAGGAGCGGGGCGGAGCGGGAGCGGGCGGAGCGGGCGGACGGACGGAGCGGGACGGAGCGGACGGAGCGGAGCGACGGACGGAGCGGGCGGAGCGGACGGAGGCGGGCGGACGGGACGGAGCGGCGCGGGGCGGACGGGAGCGGACGCCGACGGAGCGGGACGGAGCGGGACGGAGCGGGCCGGCGGACGGAGCGGACGGAGCGGGCGAGCGGAGCGGAGCGGAGCGGGCGGACGGAGCGGGCGGAGCCGGCGGGGGCGGACGGAAGGAGGCCGGAGGGACGGAGCAGGCGGAGTGGACGGAGCAGGCGGAGTGGACGGAGCAGGCGGAGTGGATGGAGCAGGGGGAGTGGACGGAGCAGGCGGAGTGGACGGAGGAGGGGGAGTGGCAAGCAATAAACAAACACAAAAGTGGGAAGTATCAATATATATAGAATTAATGTGATATGTTAAAAAATTAAATGGATAAATAAGTATAGCAATGAATTGGTCCAAAAAGTAGCTGGAATTAATTTGAACACAGAAAGAGATTAATTAAAATCATGGGAACGCACACATCTCCAAATGCAGACCACACAGAATTCTTGCAAAACTTTGAAGGGCTAGATAAACATGACATTTATTAAACATAAAATAAACTAGATAAATATAAAAGTAAAATGGTAATAGTAGGAGGCTTAAATATAGACAAAACAGAAAATAAACTAAGAGATATAATTGAGTGATTCTACAATCATGACATAATACTTGGACCTATACAAATTACAGAAAACTCTAGTCGTGCCATAGACCATATATTAACTAATATAAAACAAAGAAACTATAATACAACTTATTATATAGATTTTCATATCTCTGACCACAAGGGGCAAAGGGCAAATAATAGACATTAATAATTATTATATTATAATAATTATTAGTATTATTGTAAGTTTATCTCATCTTACCTTATATCCATAAACATCACAAAACAAGTATAAAATTATCATTTATTAAACGTTACACAGATACAAATCTTTCTAAACTTTGTAAATCACTCAAAAGTGAAAAATGGACTGAAGTTAACACAGAAAAAACCCTCAAACAACAAATAAAATATATTTCTTAAAATATTACAAAATCACCCCCTAATACATGCCCAATTAAAAAAACTAGCAGTCATGAAATTAATGAAAAATTTAAACCATAAAATACACGTATTGAAATTAAAGAAAAAATGAAAGAATCATACACATTATTTACACTAAAATAAAAGATCATCAACAATGCTGAAAAGACTACACAAAATTGTGAAGAAAATAATTAACAATTGCAAAAGTGAACAAAGTTAATAGCAAATAAAGAAATGCCAAAGGTAAATCCAGAGAATTACAGAATATTGTAAATAAGGGGAATACATGTAAACAAACAACTAAACTCAACAATATAAAGCTATTCCATGTAAGTGAGTTAGTGGGTGATCCAATGCTGATTTGTGACCTGTTTAATAATCATTTCCCAAATACAGGTACCAAAATAAACAATTGCACAGAAATGTGTCTAAAAACTCCAGATTTAAACATTAATTGAATCTACCTAGCACAGATACCACAGAAATGAAAAAACTGATTGAAAATAATTGTAAAACAAGTGAATGGGATGAGAATACACCAGAAATAGCGAAAAAATGCACAAATTCTCTAGTAAATATTTTAATTCACCTAATTAACAACTCACTAGATGCATGTGTTTTTCTGATTCCTGAAAATTAGGATTGTGAGACCAATATTCAGGAAAGATAATGATGATAATGTTGAAAACTATAGACTAATAACTCTTACATCATAGCTTGCTAAATTGTTCAGAATGTACAATTTTTTTGAACAAAAAACAACAACCAATTATGTAATAAACAACATGGATTCAAGAAGGACAAATCCACCGCAATTGCTGATTTTATTCATGAAGTATTAAATAATCTAGAAAATAACTTTTTTTCTGCAGGTATATTCATGGACTTATCGAAGGCTATTGACAGTGTCTCATGTAAACTACTTCTTGAAAAACTAGGGCATTGCAAAACTAGGACTTACTTAAAAATCTTTCTAAGAATATGAAAGTGAAAATATTCATTACCATATACTTTGGCATTACACCCCGTCACATTCAATATTGTATAGAAATATGGGGAACAACAACCTCTTATGTGTGTATATATATATATATATATATATATATATATATATATATATATACATGCACATAAGAGGAAAGGAAAACTATCACAGGATGTACTCTGCAAAATCCTCCTTAAAAAAGGACCCTTATCAGAATGCTACAGTACTCTTCAATAAACTCACTAACCATATTAAGAAGTAAAGCAAAAATAAATTAAAAAAGTACTAAAAAAATATTTAATTGAAACTTGCCCATATAAATTAAAGGAATTAACATTGGTACAGGGATCAATGTTACAATAATTATACATTATTTTAAAATAAGTTAATAATAATATATAAATGGAATATAATATATACATGTGAATAATTGGGAAAAACACATTATATAAAATTGTATAAAGAAATGAAAACTGCAAGAGAAAGAATATTGAATGATTACATATATATGACAATGCTTCAAGACTTGCACTATATTGAGTTAATATGAGAAATACAATTATTATTTATATAATTATTATTGTTATTATTATTATTTTATCATTGACAGTAGGCAAAAGTACTCCTGTCCGCAAATAATTCTCTTCTATCGACTTTATCATTTCATTTATTAACAACTCTCTATTAATTATCATCTCCATATTAACTTATTTCATACAGCTTCCCAGGTGTTCTGCCTTAGCACATATATTCTCAATTTGTAAAAAAATGCAGGTATTGTTTTCTCCTTTCACTTTCAAACCTTTGTCCAAAGCTGCACTCATAGCAAAAGGTTAATATTTCAAATAGGTTCAAACATATTTATCAATACTACAGAGTGAATTTTGAATTGATATAAGATTCAAAATATATAATACCTCAAACTTCACTTATCATGTAAATGATCCTGAAATACTTTCAATGACAAAATAAAGCTTTATCATTTGACTTGTACTCACTCACACCACTAACTAAAAACCATTCATTTTCTTTTAGATCTTCACTATTCACTAAAAGAACTTTATCCTCATCAAAACATTTTTCCAGGAATAGTTTTGTCATGTCTCTTCAATATTATTCTTTTCAAATAGTACTGAACAAACATTACTTTATCACATGCAAGACAATTTTGGGCCCAGGGCAAAGCTGAAACATGGCCCCCCCTCCGACAACTGAAAAAAACAGTGAAAGTTATATCAAGAAACTATATCAACAAATAACAAAAATTACATTTAAATTACAAAAAGTTTTTGGAAATACATTTAAAATTCAATCCCTTTTTGACTTCTTGACAAATCACAAATATGGCATCTATTGTTCTTCATCTATTTAAACAAAATACTTTATCATTATCAAAAATCATTTATCTGTATAAATGCTGTATTTTTTGTAGTATCATTTTTGAGAATAATTTTTGTGTCATATTTAATGAGGGATGCCTCTATAATTTTCAGGATTATTCTTGTTTCCTTTTTGGAATACGGGTAAGGTTAGACTGGATTTCCATTTTAATGGTATTCTTTCGTCTTTGATTATATTATTAAATAATACAGTCATTTGATCTAAGTTCTTTCCACCATATTTTAATAACACATTCTTATCCCTTCACTACTAGGCACTTTTTCTGTTGTTGACGGTTTTTACCATCTCTTGCACTTCTGACAAATTATACATTATCTACATTGAAGTTGTGTTTATTATGTATGTCTCGGTTATATTCTGTTTCCTTGTACAAATCTACAAAATATTTTTTTCTTGCTTTCTTGCATAACTTATTATTAATTTTTATGGTTTCAGTGATTTGTCAATCATTTCCACACCTTCTTTCTGATCCATAAACGCCTATTTCAAAGTCCTTTGTGAATTTCTCCCAATGTTTCTTTCAACTTGCTTATTTTCATACAAGCTATATTTCTTTCTTGTTTATAACGTATGTTGTCTTCTGTACAACCACCCCAGATGGTACAAGTTCTTAGCTCCTGACAGGTCTCCCGGCATGTGTGGTAGTGTAGAGAATGTTAGTGTAAGTGTGTGTGTAAGGGGTGAGGATAGGACAAGGAAGAGGTAGGAAAGATCATGCGCGGTCCATGGCCCGTTTTTTAGGGTACTGCTACAGCATTCGCCTGGTGTTGATCAGAGAAACTAAGGAAAACTACTGATCAGAGCAGCAGGAATTCTCCTCCAGAAAGCAACAGAACACAACCTACCTGACAAGTCAGTGTCAAATATCCTGCCACCATCGGGACTTGAAGCTAGGACCTCCCAGTCAGAGGGACTGCAGTGACATCAGTTGATGCTCTGAGACATCTCTCCCGGTCATTTATTTCATCTTCTGGTCATTTATTTCACATTCATTCAAAGAAATAAAAAAACTGTTATTATATTTAGATAGAACTGACACTTTATGGTGTAATAATTTGTAGCCCTTATGAAAGTTATATACAACATCACAACATCAGCATGATCACACTTTTTTTCCTTTTCCCCAATGTCCTGCTGTCCGGAAATTGATAGTTTCTTTACAAATACAATTATTCTGAATCTTTTGGTCGTTATAAAGTAATGAGAAGTTAAAATACCATTTCGTCTCTTGTGAGACGTATTACTTAACATACTTGACTAAAGAAAGAAAAAAAAAATGGAGGGCAAAGAAACAAGACCAAACTGTCAATGTTTTTTATTGCATGTAATAATCATCCAGCATCAATTCTTAATCTTCTCAAGTACATCCTCAAAAGTCAGATTCACATAGTTTATAAAAATGTACCTGCAAAGGTTATTAAAGACACTTTAGGATATCAGTATAGATTGCTCACTAATGCATCTACAATAGAACACTTCATTTTAAAATAAATTTCTATTATCTGCACTAAAATACAAAAGAGTAAAAGTAATTTTAAAATAAAATTGCAGTAAATTATTTTGAACTATATTACTTGTTATTTAGATATATAATAAAATTACAATATAAAAATGAAAATATTATAACATATCATTAACCAGCCTAATTAACAACAATAAAATACTAAAATAATACATTTAAAATAAAATACAAAAACATTATATCTTCACTGAAGTGATAATTTTACAAGTTACAAGTTTACTAAAATACAGAACGTATTTCACTCACTTATAGTGTTCACTGCCAAACAAGATTTTCAATATTAAGATATATTAAGGTCATTCATAGTTTGAAAGTAACATGGAAGTTCTTTTGTTTTGAACATGTGTTATTCCACCAATAGGAAAGTGAATGAAGATAGATTACAAAGATTACACCGATTAAAGTAACAAAATAAATAAATAATAATAGATTTTTTTAATATAGAAAATATGTAAAAGATATTCCTTTCGGATCAATCCTCGGGCAGCAGAACAATCTTTAGAATACAGATGTATTTTGAAATCAGTAACACTATTTTGGAAACAGTAAATTAAAATCTCATTTGGGAGTTGAAGTCTGTAATCTGTTTGCAACAGCAATTTACACTAGGACAAAAATTGTAAATTGTGCTTCAAAAGAAAAAGCAGGAAACAACATTACTCATTAAAAATCTAGCTTATTTGGTCAATAATATTTGTTTCAGTCCATTCACATATCACATATACACTTTATAAAAACTTGCAACACAAATATCAAAACCCATGGCTAGGAATGTATGTACATACTACATAACAATGATAACTATTCTTTATACATTTATTAAAAAACAGGTAGCTAATCTGCACACATAAATAACTACAACTGTGTAAGTAATACAATATCAAAAATATAGCATCCAAAAACATACATGATGGTGTGATTCTGTGAACTTTGCAAGCATATAAAAATCGAGAGAAATAAAATTTTAAAAAAATTATAATGTAACCAATTTAAAGATAACAGGCAAGATATAGTTAATAAAGTACTGCAATATTTCTGCGGCAAAGCTGCTATGTAGTTTCAATGTACCATTATACCATATATTTCTGAATTCCTGGAAATTTGCCCAATTTTTAGCTGTTAAAAATGTAAATGCATCTGTTTGCAAGAACAGTCTCAAAATGTACCATAGTTACATAATCATAGCCCACTAGTATGCCTAGTAGCACTAGGTTTAGGCACCATTCTAAGTATGTAGAAGTAGAACACCAGTGAGCTGTGCCATTGCCATAATCTACTGCTGCTAAGATTGATCAACTCTGTTAGTCATATCGCATGGAATTTACAAGAACAGAACTTTATATTAGTCCTACATCTCCACATACCTACGCTAATCACAGAATTACCACAATACAAAAACCTGCTTCTAGCTTAATATGCTTCTAGATATTGCACAAATTTATCATCAAAATTGGTATCTGTGGCAGCACATCAATCATTACTGACCTTGAATTAAAATTATGATTAAGAAACATTAAAATTCGTTATGTTATTATATTTGCATTTGAGCTTTGTATTTAGAAATATATGGTAGTTGCATGTTGATCTTTGCTACAAAGTTATCACCCGACATTAGGCCTGACATCTCCTAAACTATGATTTGAAACCCTATGGTAAACTTCTGAAGTTTTCTGAAAGGAACAAAATTTATAGACAATATAAAAATTTACTTAGAAATGCACAGTATGTTGTCATTCAATACGGTAAATTAACATGCAGATAACATAAATGTTTCTTTGGGACATGGTCAAACGACTCAAGTCACTTTTTGGCAGGATTTAAATAAAACCACAACAATAATTTATAAATTTAGTTTACATAAAATTCAACAGACAAAATATATTTAAAACCGCCTTGCCCATATACGGAGCACCAAGGATAACCCTCCCTCCGCAGTTTTAAGATTTCAAACTCATATTATCATTACAGGTAACATTGTCTTTAGGTTATTATGTTTTGATAATAAAGTAACAAATCCACAATATGTAGCAACATTGCAAAACTAATTTGCATTTTACTATAAGATAATTTCCTTTGTGGTGATGAAGTTAGTATTTTATTGTCAGTTTATTTTATTTTGTTCTTGTATTGTTTTTTTTTACTTGTTTGTTTGAATCGGTTGAGAGTTTTAATGAAATTTTGACACATAATAGTGTAAGTTTTATTTGAAATAACTTAAAAAATTGTTAAATTATTTAAACAGGATTTTTGTGGGGTTTTAGCCAACCCTGCTCTTTTTGGCCATTTTTAGTTTTTCACACAATATTGCTAAGGAAAACAAAAGTTTTCATATGGCTTTTGTCTGTAAGCAAAACCACCTTTGCTTCCAGATATAAGCCTTTAAAACCAAACAAAAGCTTGTTTTTTGTCAGCATTGTGTGTAGCTTCTGCTCTGGCCAAAAACTGACTTAAGCTCTTTTGACCAAGCACCTAGCATAAAATAAATAACATGAAAAAAGAAAGTTAATGTGTGTGAACCCAATCATGAAGTCATTATACAAAGTTAATTAAAGAAATTTGATTATTTCCACAAAATACAACAAGACAAAGTTCTGCACAACTTAATTACAATTCTTCAATTTTTGTTTCATACTGACCTCATGACATACTAAGTTTGTAAATTATTTTAATTCCTCTTTAATGCCAAATTCAATATCAATATAGGATTAATAATATTTATTTACATATTGTAGCTACTGAAAGTTGGGCAAATCTGTTGGTTCATAAAAGCATAATTTCATTTCCTCCTTAAATATTGTTAACAAATGAAATTCTATGACATTTTGTGAAAAACAGGTTCTCAGTACTTTTTGAAAACCTATGCTCATGTAAATCTTTTTGTCTCTGTTCCAACCAAGAATCACCACCTTGTGCACAAATACCTTCATGACTTTATATTAAATTAATATAAGATTAACTAATTTCACAATGTCCCTGATTGGAGTCCTCTAAACAATTTTGACATTTAAAAAAAAATGTTGTATCTGGAGAGACGTAAAATAAGAAAAGAGAAATCTGTTCAAGATGTGATAGTATCATGTACATACTATAACTTCCATTTTCAATTGTTGGTTATCAACAGACAATTTCAAATACAGCCAAATTAAATTTCCAATAACTACAACTAGGCAGTTAAAAAAAAAAATCTTTCTTAATTCTTGACATTTTTTAAATGTCAATTTCCCTCATGCACACACATTTAAAAAAATGGATTGTCTTCATTTCAAGAGAATAATCATTTAGAACCAATCATGGATAAATCAACAAAAGAATAATACCAAATAACTTTCTGTATTCTAAGCAAAACTATTTTTTTATTCTTCTATTCACAAATAAATTTTACGAATGTTAATAGTCTATGAATTTAGATGTTCACTACACATTTATTACAGCAACCGCTCTTCAAATATTTATTGACAGTATAAAATGGGTAATTCTGTCATTGGTGCTTACAAATAAAAAAAATCAGTATTGCAATGAGAAAAGTAAAATAGCCACAAGTACACTACAAGTGGCATTGAACCCCCATTGTATCGTAAGTGTGTTCAATACATTATTTTGATGGACAATGGGAAGTAACTGGATCCCATTTGTAAACCTAGTATTTTGAGTATCAATTTTGCTATCACTAACTAAAGGAATATGACAAGTTATTCTCTCAATGCTTGGTGAAGAATAAAATCAAGTGCATCTCAGATATCAATACATGGTCCCAGAACACACCTGGAGCATTATTTCAATGATACATATTAAAATTCTCAAAATATTTTGGTATTGAACTGATAAGGTTGCTAGTTCCTGTCACAGCACTATCAAAGTCTGTTTCATTTTCAGGCCGTTCCCGATTATGAATTCGTTTGTGTTTATTTAAATCACCACTACCTGTTGCTGCATATTCACACTCATTGCACTTGTAGGGTCTCTCTCCACTATGAATGCGAAGATGTCTTTTGTAGCTGCCAATATCTGTTGCAGAATAATTACACTCTGTACATTTGTAAGGCTTCAAGCCGTTATGCATGCGCTGATGCCTCTTGAAACTGCTGATGTCCGTTGCAGCATAATCGCATACAAGGCATTTGTATGGTCTCTCGCCACTATGAGTACGCAAATGCTGCTTTAAGTTACTGATGTGTGTTGCTGCAAAACCACATTCAGTGCACTTGTAAGGTTTCTCCCCCGTGTGAGTTCGCATGTGCACTTTGAGGTTGCAGGACTGGTTGAAAACCTTTTGACACTGCGGGCAGCTGTATTTTCTCGGAGGCCGTGCTCTGGGTCCTCTTCGCCGCAAGTCTCCACTGCAGCCAGGCATCCCCGGGGCCCATACAACACCAGGGCAAAGGGATCCCCCACCACTTATCTCCAGAGACCCAGTGGTAGGGTGCTGTTGGTGTATCCACTGATCATTTGTACCAGGAAAAGATGCTCCTTACATCAAAAATGAGAAAATTAATGTGTTATTTACTCTTTTGCATTTGAGTGTTGATGACACAAACACTTTTTATTATAAGTTAAGGAGGAGGTATAGGACGTTTTTGACATCTCTTTTTCTAGCAGGTGACCACTGGAGGCTTGCCAATGCCTTCCACAGCATGGATGATGGCAGGGACAAACAATCAGAGTGGAGAACGATTAAAAATAACTGATTATGGATGGGTTAATGTTCAAATGGGATAGACGGTGTCATAAAACCCAAATTTATATTTTATAAATAATGTTTTGATTTCAGTTTTATAAATATTGTGGAACATTGACAATTTGAACATCAATAATCGGAACCATGAATAGCTGTTAAGTTTTGCACCATGCAGTTTTGAAAACAGAAATTTCATACAATCAGGGTTGGAAAAAAAAAAAACAGGTTGCTTTAAAATAATCCAATCCACTGGGTATGTTTGGGTTTTGTAATTTTGTAAATTTTAATTTTGAAAAATTGTAATTTTCATTTAAAATATTAGATTTTTGTTTCTTAAGAGACCATTTTGTACATCAAAAAGCTTACAATTTATGTAAGAAATATGTATAATATACATTTATAAAATGTTAAATTCTTATGTAACAATATTTTGGAAATAAGATTATTCCATTTATATCTTTATAAAATATTTCATATTTTTCAACTGAGTTCTTTCATGGCATTTTTTTAAAAATGGGTTTTATTAATATATTTAAAAAACAAACAATGGGTTTCTTGTACCAACACTGCATAAAATACTGTATTGTAATAACACAAGGGGTCCAAGGAGGAAACGTCAAAGCTTTGATAATCAGCTCTTGTGACAATTTTAAGCCTATTTTGTCTGATACACTCCTTGAATATTCCTAATGACCAATCTGCAATAAACACTCAAAAGTTGGTTTGAAAATTTACTTTCTACTCAAATTTTGTGTTGCAGAAACATATAAACACTCCACAAAGATGTAATTTGTTTATTATTTACAAAAGAAATGAATATATTTGTTCATAAAAGAAAAATTAACACATATAAAAATAAAAAAACTCTGTCGATTTGTGTAATTGTGTCGTTTTGGGTGCTTTTTAACAACGCCATGATCCTGGCTGAAGGGATAAAAAGCAATGACTGACTATGATTGTCTAGATTAGAGGAAGATTACTCTGTGTGTTCAATGTCCCAAAAAGGGACTTACAGACACATTGTGAAGACACAACATGTACATATTTGAAATTGCCTTCAAATAGATAAAGATGTCCTCTTCTGCAATGGTTTATTTTTTTTGCCCCATTTCTTTGCTTGCCTCTTCACTATATTGTAACATGCCACTTAACTATAAAAATACTATATTCTTTATCAACTTTTTTTTTTCTTGTAGTTAAAATTGGTTCCATTGCTAGTAACAAGATGTAGTACTGTTCTCATGTAGCCTGACGTTTTAAATTTTGATTTATTCTGAACTTCTTCCATCCAGCTAGAAGAATGGATTTTGCTACAACAAGATACGGTCTGAGTTAACATCACTTCCACAAAATACATGTGGGCCTATTTTCTTATTGACAATCATTGTAGTCAATTATGCATTTCTGACCCCTTGCTGCACATGTGTATTTGTGTGTGTGTTATATGCACTATATATATTATAGTGCCAATTTAGTGGTCAACTGTGCCTAAAAGGTTGTCAACTGCAACTCTAAAGGATAGCTTGGTAAAGCAGTAGTGGTAAGTTAATAAATTAAAATCAACTTATCATTGAATTTAATAAATGTAGCTAATTAAAAAGATTCATTCAATATAGGGCAAGACACCAATATCAGAGGGTGGGGATTTATTCATTTTTCTCCATTGGCTAACTAAACAGGAAGAACATCACTGGGAAAATTAAAGATCACAGGAGGGTATATTAAAGGATAAACAGACATCAAAACTGATTTTTAAAGGTCGTCCTCTAGCCATTCTACACCTTTCTAATAATAGATCTAATTGTGGTGAACTTCCATTCATCTACCAATTAAATATATATGTTCTACAAGTATTTCACATATTTTGAAGAAGCTTTCACAATTATGTATAGAACAATGCCATTCACTTTTTAGTATTACTTCTTAGCAGGTTTCTGATTTTTTAAGAAATTTTAGTCTCTTCATACTTTAGGCTCAAATACACTCCAGCAACATAAATTTAAATACGCTTGAATATAACTAGGGTAAATTAAAATTCAATTCAAGAATTAATCCGAGGTAAATGTGTTGTTTTCTTTGGTTTACAAAATTCCCCATAAGTATTAGTCATATAAGAATCTTAAAAAATGTTTCTTCTTTACATACTTAATCATTTGTTTCTTTACTGTGATAATTTTCCTATGTTCCTGTTGATATTGAAAGAACGTTTTCATGCATTGGAGATATCATGACTTTTTCGTCAATATACATTAATTTTCATTCATGAAATAATTTTAATAAATACCATTTGAACTTCAGAAATTCTCCAAAGCAATTGTATTACTTATAGAGATAAATAGGTGTCATGGAACTAGAGTTGGATAGTTACTCACTTGGGTAGAGACTGGAATTTTCTTCATATGTTGCAGGACCCATCTCTCTTCCCAAGGGTCCCCTCCTCTTTTCCAAACCATCTTGATGTTCGCTTTTTCCTACCTCAGAAAAACAAGCTTCTGTGTTAAGATTCATTTCATCAGTCACTTTGGGTTCAGTTTTCACCAACATCTCAGGATGCAATGGAATATCATGCCCATCCTCGGGCTGGCCATCCACAGTTGAACTATTTTTTTTTGAACAGGATGTAAGTGAACTACTGCCAGAAGACATACTCTTTGTGACAGGTGTCAAACCTGCTTTTGAAGAGCTAGGTACATCAGTTCGATTAGGAAGGAAATGTTCAAATGTACTACTGTCACTGCTCATACTAATATCTGCTGATAAACCCAGTATAGCATCTTCCCCACCACTTTCATGACTATACCTACTCCTTTTGCTAGAAATTACTTCTTTCTTAGGTTCCACAATGAAATCATTATCATCTACTCCTAATTCCACTTTTACAACTGATTCTGGATGCAAAATCTGACATTCTGCTTCAACAGGAGGCAAAGTTGGTGGCCCGCGTAACGATTTCACACCGTGCTGATCACTACGGGCAGATGGTTTCTCTAACTTCACATTTGGTGTTCTCCTCATTATAGACGTCTGTCCAACCTGACAAACAAGAGGTTCTTCAGAATTTTGGTTCTCTATAAAACTATCAATGTTTTCACTTGATATTTTAACATCTATGTCTGCAGATTTTTCACTTGCACTGTCTTTGGTCTCCTCTTTTCCTTTGCATTTACATGCAGAACCAGAGGAACAAATTTGTCGTGTTTGTAAATTTGAACGCTCATGTATTTCACCTTCTTCCTATATAAATAAAAAAAAAAAAAAAAAAGAAAAGGAAAATAGCAGCATTCTGAAATACGCAGTTAGCTGAAGAACCAATTTAAATAAAGAATACAAAATTGCAGAAGTAACAATCAAAAAGTTTTTCACGATAATACTTACCTCATTCTTACAGCCACCTCCCAAACCTTTAATTTGAAGAGATTCTGCTGCATCAATTAAATCTTCCACTTTGTCTTCAGATATCTTCACATTACCATAATACATAAAATCAATGAAAGCTTTCAATTCTTGAAAAGTAATACCGCTTAGGATAACTGTAGGATTCACCTCATTTTCTTCTTTAAATATCAACTAAAAATAAATAATTTAAACATTCAATTTAAAATAACAATACTTACTTTGACAAGACATATTACATCCATTACAATTTTCTAAAGAATATTTCTAAAAAATGGTATGTTTTATGCGCTCTTTCACACAATAATGAGTATTGTTTGTGGCTCTCGAATCATTCAACTCAAATTACTTTTTTGTACTTTCACTTCTAAAGACACATTTTAAGATCTTTTTATTTTCTATAAAATTGAACTTTTCCACCTTCGGCCTACAAGATGCTACACATTTGTTGATGAAACATCATTCAAAGGAAAAAGTAAATAATTTTACGCATTTATGTGAAGTAAAGTGTAAGGGCACGATGAGTTAGATTTGGTAAACACTAGCATTAAGATACAAAATGTACAAGTAGAAATTTAGAGATTCCATTGTCTCACCTCTTCCATCTATTCCTCCACCATCTCCTCTATTCCAATTTAATATAATATTTAATTTAATAATTCCAATAGAATCAAAGAAAATTTCCACTAGGCAATGATGAAGTAAGAGTAACACATGAGTCATCAACAAATATCCCAGTTTCCCAACCCTTCCAGTTAGCAAAATCGGCTATTTCATTTAGTTATTTGACATTATGAACTCCTCTAGAACACCCACCCTCTGGTCAAATCAAAATCAACCCTTAGGGACTGCTCAAAAATGTTTATTAATTAAAAGTTACAAAGTGCTGGTATTCACTAAATATTAATGTACCAAGAGACTTGCACATTTCTGAAGGATACTTATATTTCATTTGATTGATAAATCAATTTTTTTGAATTTATATTTTTATTACACAGTTACAAGTTGAAATTTGAGGCTTAAAAATTTCATTGTTTGCAGAGTAGGGCATTAAACAATCAAATAAATAAACAAATAAATACCAACCTCAAAATACGGGCTAAATGCTGACAAGACCTCTTTGTGAGCTTTCAGTCGTTGTCCTTCTGCAACTATGGTGCAGTCTACCAAACTCCCATTCTCTAGCAATTTTTCAAAGACATTTATTAGAGTGCCATGATGACCTTGCCATGATAGAGATACTTCTTGGGAACACATTTTTCCAAATAATCTGCAAAATAATTACATAAAACTTGTAAATTCCAACAAATAATTCATAACTAAGCTACTGAAGATATTTTAAAACATTTTCATATAATTTACCCACTCCATTTTCAACAATAATTTTTAAATATTAATTTTTTTCTCTCTTGTACACAGCAAAACAACAAACAAACAACGCTTTATTGCATACACAATAGAATGAGTATATTTCACAATGTAATGAGTATATATCAACACAAAGTTTTATGAAATGTATTAACTGATTCAAATTTAATTTATTTCAGGGGTTATTAGGAATTAAACCTTACCAAATATCTCTAATTTCTTAAATATAATAAGAAAATACATTTATTCATGTAATTATGACCACAGAAGGCATTCTTTAATTTTTAAGACTGCAATGAGCACTTTACATCCACAAAGTGACATTTAATGTCAAATTTCTTAAATATTCCTCAAGTTGATTGGTTTTGTTTCACAATAACAAAATCAATCTCCAAATCATCTAACTTGTCATGGAAATCACGTTTAGATTATAATATTCATTTTGTTTTCTGTATATATTCTTGTAGGCCTATTTCATTGGCAAGACACAATGCACAAAATCAATTTTTCATTACACAGAAACACTGAATCGCTGATCTCAGAGCCTGCGAATTTTTCATGTAAATAAAAGTACAGCTGACATATACATATTTATTTTGCGTACCTTCTAGAGGAACTAAGTTTGAAAAACGAGAATAAATCAGATTGTGAGATAGCACCTCAAATCACAGTAGTGTTAAATGGCAGCCTGGTACAGGACGATAACTTCGGAACACTGATGCATTTATTATTATAAGATAATAAAAAGGAGCAGCATATTCAAAATTCTTTGCAAAAACACCATAATTTCAAATGTTCACATTCATGCAGAAATACCACAATCTAAACAACTACAGCTGTCAATGCAGAGAATACTGCACAAAGTGAATCAATAACAAATCACAGTTGTTACCACACTTCCACTTTATAGCTGCGATCTTTGCGACTCTGGCGACCGTCTCGTTAAACGTTAACTAGCGGCGCGGTATTTAAGTGTCATTTTCCTTCTTACCAAAGAAAACAAATGGCAAAGACAGTCAAAAGAGTGCTTTTAAAATATCGAGAAGAAGATTAACGTTCAAAAAATTATTTTTTTAACACACTGTGCGCGAAACAAAGTTTCTCGTACTTGTTTTCTAGTGTGAAACAGCTAATTTTTTCACGATGGAACACCGCGAAACGTGTGAGAAACATCGCGTAGCGTTTGCGAAACACCTTTGACGATTCGCAATTGTCTTTCATCTTGACGTCTTTGTTTATTATTTGCAAACAATAGGAGCGCCGATCACCCCGGGTGGTGAAGTAGCTCGTGCGGGCATGGTTTGACGTGCCTAGTTTAGTTTGCGTTTACCACAGAGGGACAGACATTTTGTCGTCAGTCAATTGTTCGGTATCAAGGACTCATAGAATATTTATTCTAACTACATAACGTGTTAGAGGACGTAATTTACTATAGCTACTTTTTCGTTATCAGGGTCCGGCAAAAACATTATTTTCTGTCGAAAACTCGCCATTTTCCGGCGCACAATTATAATACTTTTTTTTTGAGTTGGTGAGGGAGTGCATGACAGCAACATCCCAGCATATTTTGCAAACTAACAACGATACCATTAATTCTAGAAGAAAATATTGGGCATATCAAATGTAAGCAATTTTATCGTCTTTCATTTTATAACAGGTTAATTTTAACGAGAGTTTTTAAGTTGTATTGAGATAAAGTGGGTTCCCGTTTTTGTGATTTTGCTTGTATCACCAAATTTGGCGGTGCTCTCACGGATAACTATTAATCGGAGGAAAATAGCTTTCTGATATTAACCTGTTAATCGGGAAGTTTTCCACCGTTATTTCCTACTGAATTAATGTTCGTAGCTTGTTTTTTGACAATCCCTTGCAATATGAGAAGGCCAATAAACAGTTTCATCTCTTTAGGGATTGTTGGAGGCCAGTATCGAGCACGCGACCTTGGTTTTAGATGCTGATAAATATCGAAGAACTGTTTAACGTATGTTTGTTTTATCAGATACATGTTGAAACAGATAATCAAAATGCTTACTAAAATAAAATAAAGACATCTTGACATTTTCTACGAGAGAAAAATACCATGAAGCTACAAATTAGCCATAACTGGACCACAGTGCGGTTTCCGGAGACCTGGCAGCGCTCGCAGCACCTCATGGAGACAGACCACTGTTTTCCTCGCGTCCGTCACGGAGCTCCTGACCGACTCACCACAACTACCAAATAAATCATCATCATTTTTGTCATCTGTCATCGTCTCTCACCGAGGATTGTACAAACAGCACTGTCGGAAAGGTTTGAGTCAGCCCTCGTCAATATAATCTACAACACGACACGTACGAGTCGCTACAGCTAAAGTAAGCCTTTGCCTTTTACCTACATTACTGGGAGTTGGGCAGTATCGAAAATACATGTATTTTAAATACGTATTTCCGATGCTTTTGTAATTTTGTAAAAATCGAAAATACATATTTGAACATGTTTTTTGTATTTGTATAGAAAATACTTTTCAAAATACAAAAGTTATTTTTATTGATCCTCCGTTGAAAAATTCGAATTTAAATCTATACAACACAAACGTCGATAACATGACTTTTTGTATTTTTCGAAGAAATTTTTCATTTCTGCAGCAGTATTTAAAAGAACGTTTTTGATAACTCAAAATGTTAGTTAATCGAAGAAATTATTTCCGGAGACACTTAGAGGCAGCAATTAGCGGATTTTAGAGACCACTTTACATACATTATATTACATTGTCACATTATGCATCACCACCTGTCTAGACGATCGTAATTGCTGCTTGTACTTGAGGCGTGTAAGCTAATCTTACGATAAGAGAGTAGAAATTGATAAATGATCAAAATGTTCTCTTCTAAATGAAACATATTTCACTCTTATTGAAGAATTAAGTACAAAAGGGAAAGCGTCCTGTCAAATTCGTAAGGCTGTCAAACAAACAATAATAAGTGGTTCTTATTACAATGCGGCCACAAATTTTAAGACACACTTAAGGCTAAAAATAATGAGCGGTAATATGTATTATACACTTTAAAACGCATACAATGGTGTACAATAGGCTTTGAATTTCACTGGCCATTCTTTTCACTAGGGAACTGATAATTTCTTTACACGTTTTAGAGACTTCCTCTTGATGAGCTGAGTGAATTTGAAAACTATAAAAAAGAGTGGTTCCGAAGATCCAATTCACATGGGAGGAGAATGAACAACTCTGAGAATAATGGTACTAATGCCAAAGAGATAAAAAACAAGCTTAACATCTGGCTTCTTCAATATGCAGGACAAAGGAAACGATTAAATAAACTTTGATGATCTTGTTTAAAAATTCGATGTTATCAATTACAACTACAAGATAATAACGTGAAAAATAAATTGTGAAACTGGATCACTATTGTTTGTATTTTCAAAAATATTTTTAAATACATTTTGTATCTTAAATGCTTTTATGGAAGTATTTTGTATTTGGTATCTACAATACTTTCGACGAAGTCTTTTGTATCTGAAATACTTTTTTCAAGTATTGTGCCCAACTCTGATACTATTGCAATCTGATGGGTACATCTTACAATACCTAGAGATTATAGAGGTATAACAGGGAACGAGGTATATCGTTCTGCCCAAAGCAGAGGAGTTTTCAAAACAAGATGACGCGCAAACTTGTCAAAAGACAATTAGAATAAAAATTTCCATGACGAGTTTTGTCGTCACCCCCAGTTAAGAGGTTAAATGTAGGTAATTTTATCTTCTCTTATTTAATAACAATCTTTATTCAAGACAATATATGGATTTTGAGTTGTTTTGAAAAAATGAAAACGGTTGTGATTTTTACACTTTATTTTCTAAAAAATCAGGCAAAATTACTGTTCACAAACTTGATATTTCTGATCAGCAACCCCCCAAAAAATATAGGAATCAAATTTAAAAACTGCACCAACACTTTTCCATTTTTTTCTACCATTTGACTGGATTGCTAATTGGTCTTTCATAGTCAAAGACCAGTAGAACCATCAAAGGCTTATATACTTTGGTGTCATTTTGCAAATCTCTGAATGTCCTCCAGTCAAAAAACAAATCCAATTTTATAATAATTATAAAAACAAAACACTTTGAATTAAAATAATAAGTCTATCAGCGGAGCTTCCTCTCCGAAAATATTTTTTTCAATAGATTTTCCGTTGCTGCCACGGAATTCGAAAAAAATTCAAAGGAAGAGCATCTCTGAGGACAAAACGTCCGGGGAATTAATTTCTGCTGATTTTCAGAGGAATTTGATAGTATTGACGTTTTCCACTTGAAATGATTCATCCTGTTTATTCCCATAGAATTTTGGAGCAATAGGGCGAGCACATGACACGAAGGATTCGGAATATAGTGAGGTGGATCCTAGCTTCTATATGATATTTAATATATGATAAATAAAATATGTTGACGAATTTAGACTACAAAATCTGATAATTTCGAGGAAATATGAGCAGGAACGTGACTTTAGGGGTATATACGTCGCGAAGAGCTAAATAGAAATAACTTCCATTGATTCCAATATTTTAATAATTTGAATAAATAAATATTTTTATACGAGGGAATTATTGCCAAGACAAAACTCACGGTTCAGTAGATAAGGTCAGAATAGAATGCTAAAGGAACAATTAAAACAAGACACGGACGAGGGCAAGAAGATGAAGTAAAAATTTGATCAGAACGATTCGTGTCTCGGTAGAAATCAGATGAAATGGCATGAGCAAAATGAATTTTTGTTAAATTATTATAACGGAATGTATTGTGTCTCGGTTAGTAGATGTAAAGCCGCGAGTAGGAGTGAGATGAAGTTAACTTTTAATTTCGGAAAGTACGAAAGTAGAAATGCGCGACGGAGTAGATGTAAAAGAATGATAATTATTTCAGTGAACATTTCGATTAATTGAATTGTGTAAAAAATGAATTTAGTTTAGTAAAAATACTTCAGATCGCGACGAGTGTCATTCGGATAGCAAAGTCGTGGAATTGTAAGGTGGACGCCAAAACTGAAATGTGGCTGTAAGGATGCCTGGGACGGTGTTTTGATGCAACACCAAGTGAGCTGTTTTTACCGCCAAAAAATTGTTCGAAATTTAAGAAATTTTAAAGATATTCAAGGATAAAGGTTTCAAGACCGAGAATGTTAATTTAAGAATAACTATAAGTTTAAATTAATAAGAATTCAAGTTACGATGGCCATCATCATCTGAAGATAATTATTCCTGTTTATCATCATTCAAAGATAAATGTTTAATTTTTTCATTATCTAAAATGATAGATTTAAATTATTAAAACAAGTTACAGTACGTAATTCCTACGCAGCTGTAACTTTAGTAAAAAAAGGTATTTAAGTTCTTAAACTATCAGTTACAGTAGATAATTCCTATGCAGTTGTAATCTTAGTAAGAATTAATTGTTATTAATTATTAGAATGTTTGCTAGGTAAGAAAAACCACGATGTCCAGTTTCTCTCAAAAACATAAAAATTAATACCAACCGCTGACTCGTATGAGCGGTTATTTTCAGGCTCACGAAGAAGAAAAAAATATTCAGACCCTGAGAGAAGTAAGTAACACCTTACCTCAAACCATGAGTTGGCCAAAATTTAACTTAAATATAAACGTAATTAGAACAGGGTTAAAATTGATGGAAAGAGCTTATAAATTGAATTAAATAAAGTGAGAATAAAGAGTAGTATTTCAATAGGAATTCGATTGAAGAATAGCAATAATAAAAATGAATACATTTTATTGTAAAAATAAAAATAATACTGCGGGGCTCAATGTCGTTGTTCAACTGTTTTTCGTTCAGGAAGATCGTCATTTGATCGTCACAGGTTTCACTCCTAGAAATTGCGCCAGCGCCATCTGAAACATTTCACAACGTTCATTTTTATTGTGATAAAGCAGTTCTTCAAAATTGCAAATCAATTCAGCAGAGAATTAAAATCTTTTTAAATTAAATCTTGAAAACGATTTGAGTACACAAATTCCTGTACGCTGCACA